AACAGAAGCAGACAGGAGCAACTCATGAGTCTTGATCTAATGAGGTCAGGCTTCACAAAGTCTAATCAAAAACTCAGTGCAAACTGGGGTGTGGCTAAGTGGTAGAATATCTGCCCACCAAAAAGGCTCTGGGTTTGATCCCTAGAACCATAAAAGCAAACCAAACAATCTACTTGTGTTATGGTATGCCTCCAAATATCCACAGCATGATAACTGTTAATCTGGCCAATAGCACAGGGCTAACAAAGTCCCTATTCTCATGGAGTTCACTACCTTGTGTACTATTGGGGAAGAGAGTCAACAATAAAGAACAAAAGAGTATGTTACATGGTGACTTGTTCTATGATTGAGCAATTTTTGAGCATGGCAATGAGATGAAAGTGCATTGGCTGGAAGATCAGAGACGGTTGCCAAATAACCTAGGATCTGGGGCCCAAATAAGAAGGCGAAGATCCAGCCTCACCAGGTATTCAATCACTCAGAGTGAAAATATATGCATCTGCTCTTCACCACCTCCTGCATTTTCATATTTCTGCTTGATTTTCCTCCTTCCTACAGAATCATCTTGCTTTATTTCAGTGCAGACCCCCTTTGGTTCACCTGGATATTTCATCATTTCCAGAAAGATGTTATTTTTTAAGGCAGAATTTTCCATTTGAGATTCTCCTGCCTCAGTCTTCTAGAAGAGTAGAATTGTGAGGCAGACACCATACCTCAAAACTATGAAGGACGTTCCTAATGAGCAAAGAATGATCAGTTGGGACTGGAGTAGTAACTTGGAAATTAAGAACATTTTCTGCTCTTCCAGAGGACCTGAATTTGGTCCCCAGCTCTCACGTGGTGGCTCACAATCATCCATAACTTCAGATCTAAGTATCTGAGAATCAGGCACCTTCTTCTGACTTCCTCGGGCAAGTATGTGATGCCCACACAAAGATAAAATAAGTAAATCTTTTAAAATATTATTCTTAAATTGTATATATCTTTGATGTTAAAAAATGACACTTACTTTCAGCACTTTGAGGCATTTCTCCTGGAGGTACTCACACTGGGGATTGAACCCAAGGACCTCATGAAAGCTAGTAAGCATGGGGCCGTTGACCTATATCCCAGTCCTTTGGATAGTTTGTTTTAGTGTGCATGCTTATGTGTGTATGCATGTGTATGTCTGTGTATGCATATGCACGTGTATGTAGAAGCAACTTCATGTCTCCTTCAATAATTCTCCACTTCTTTAACAGAACAAAGTTTGTTGAATATATTGCAAGGGGGCAGAAGATTGACAGTAGTTACAGTATCACCTGCAGCCTCCATCTTATTATATAAGACAGAGTCTTTCACTGATCCTGAAAGTTGCAAATCTGACCACACTGGCTGGCCAGCAGACCCCAGAGAACCTCATGTTTCCATTCCTGGTTCTGGGATTATATTCACACACCATTGCACTCACATAGATTCTGGTGATCTGAACTCAGGTCCTTATGTTTGTGCAGCAAGCACTTTAACATCTCCATATGTCCCCCTTCGTGTTCTTTGAGACAATCTCACTGGGTTAACCACATGCCTGTGAACTCACTCAGTACCCTAGGTAGTGCTTGAACTTGCAATCCTCCTGTCTCATCCTCCCAAACAGCTGAGATTACAGGCCTGTGATATAAGGCCTAGCTATTTTCAGCACTTTTAACCTCATTCCATTGCCATCCTTCCTCCTGGAGTCACCTGCTAGTCACATCATTACCACTTTCATGTATCTGTCATTTTATTGCTGCGGATCTTTGCAGCTCTCTATGATCCAACTTTTGAGTTATTGCTCTCTAGAGCTGACTTACTGTCTTTCACCAGCTTGAAGACATTTCCAGTCATCTCATCAAATGTTGTAGGACACATATTTCTAAATTCAGGTTTAAGTGTTCTCTTCAGATTCCCTTTATTTTGAGGAAGTCAAACCTGTTCAGGGCTCAACCTCACCTCAAAGTTACTATTACTGCTTTCTATGATTCTTGATTCCAACAACATGAAATACTCTCCTTCCTAATATTCTGCCCCCATAAATGATGCCAGCCTTTTGTGTCACATGTAGAAGGCTACCAGCTTCTGCTTCACCAACTCTTCTAACTCCTCCTTTCTGGCCTGGCCAGTCATCCTATAGAATTTCATCTTTCTTCGTGGGAGCTCTTCTCTCCTGTCCCTGGTGCTGTATCTCTAATATACACTGCTCACTTTCTCTCTGAGAGCTCATTACTTACTTTTAATTTTTTTGTTTGTTTTTTATGACAGGGTTTCTTTGTGTAGCTTTGGAGCCTGTCCTGGAACTTGCTCTATAGACCACGTTGGCCTCAAACTCAGAGATACACCTGACTCAGCTTCTGAGTTCTGGGATTTAAGGTGTGCACCACCACTGCCTGGCTAATTTTATTTTTTTTAATTGGTATGTCTGCACATATTTGAAGGTCGGAGGACAACTTGTGTGAGTTAACACTCCTTCCACCATACCAATCCCACATAGTGAACTTCAGCCATCACACTTGGCAGCAAGCACCTTTATGTGCTGAGTTTTCCCAACAGCCTATCACTCCCTTTTTCCCATTATTTCCTTTACCAAGTTTTCAGTGCAAGGGTGATGTTTAATGAGAACTATGTTCCTTGTCTCACCACATCTGCACCTCCTTAGTAGATGCTCTGGCTCAGGTGAGCAGATAGTCTTACCTGTCCCCTGAAACTGACAAAGAACTACACCTTTTTTGTGAAGCGTTTCTGCCAAAATCCTTCAGTCTAGTTGGAGTGGTCCAAAGGAAAAGAAGTGCCCAATGAAGTGCAGTGGGGAATGAGGCAAAGATAAGGTTGGTGGCTGAAACTCCTGAAGGAATCATCTCCAGGGTGAACTGTGTTCAAAGATGGTGGAGTCCCCAAGCCTGGGACAAAACTCAATATTCCCTGTCCATTTGTTCCTCATTCTCCTTTGCTCCCAATCACTTAATCTCATTCTCTCTGCCCCTAACTTTCTCATTCTTCTCCTTAGACTCACTTCTATGGCCTCTGCAGCATAGCATCCAGGAAGAGTCAAATGTTCAGCCAGCCAGTGGTGCACACACCTTTAATCCCAGCACTCGGGAGGCAGAGACAGGCAGATGTCTGAGTTTGAGGCCAGCCTGATCTACAGAGTTAGTTCCAGGACAGTTAGGGCTGTTACAAAGAGAAACCCTGCCTCAAAAGACAAAGTCACATGTTCAGGTTTTCTTATCAAATGACACCTTGAATCTCAAATGGCCATGGACTCAAACCATCAACCAGAATCAGCTTTGCTCCCTTTGCCTTGGGTATCTTGTCACAGCAATGGAAGGCTAACATCAGTCAATGAGAACAGCAGGGGACATTTCAACAGAAAGTAGAGGGACTGTGGAGACTGAGGGCATACATGTCAGAGGAAGCCACAGGAATTTCAAGATCAAAACATAAGATTTATCAAAATGTGTTAGAATCAGAAATAATTGTGGTACAAATAATTCTGATGCAGAGGCAGGAAAAGAACACATTAAGATTCGTCATCCTAGAGAAGCTAAATAAGAAGGTGAACCCAAAGAAAAACATATAGTCATCCTCCTGGATATTAACCTTCATCAGGCGATGAAAGAAGACAGAGACAGAGTCCGACATTGGAGCACTGGACTGAAACCCCAAGGTCCAAATCAGGAGCAGGAGGAGAGAGAGCACGAGCAAGGAACTCAGGACCGCGAGGGGGGCACCCACACACTGAGACAATGAGGATGTTCTATCGGGAACTCACCAAGGCCAGCTGAACTGGGTCTGAAAAAGCATGGGATAAAACCGGACTCACTGAACATAGCGAACAATGAGGACTGCTGAGAACTCAAGAACAATGGCAATGGGTTTTTGATCCTACTGCACGGTACTGGCTTTGTGGGAGCCTAGGCAGTTTGGATGCTCACCTTACTAGACCTGGAAGGAGGTGGGAGGTCCTTGGACTTCCCACAGGGCAGGGAACCCTGACTGCTCTTCGGGCTGATGAGGGAGGGGGAGTTGATTGGAAGTGGGGGAGGGAAATGGGAGGAGGTGGTGGGGAGGAGACAGAAATCTTTAATAAATAAATAATAATAAAAAGATTTGTAAATGATGAGCCTAAAGTACGGGACTATAGCTAGAAACAATGAGTATCCTGAGTCAAATGTGTTTTAGAGAGAATGGAGAGAGCAGTCTAGATGATCTGGGGCAAAATTTAGAAGAAAAAAAGCAGTCAGCCACCTAGTGGGCAGAGTTGAGACTGCAGGTAGGAAACGGAAGCAGCAATTCACATAACTGAATGGAAGCGGACTAGGCAGGATTAAGTTGGGGAGGGGTGGAAGACAAGCCAAACAGGCAATGATCTAAACTATAAATAAATAATCTGGAATCAAAATAATAAAAAGGATTCTGGGAGTGTTGGGCCACCATAGCCTTGACACTCCAGCGCCATGTAAGCATACACAAGCATAAGTAACAAGTGATAGAGAATTCTTCCAGGGGGTGGGACAGTAGGCTGGGAACTTTGGATGAGGTGCTGGAAAGTAGAACCTAGACCTTGTACCTGAACAAGTAAGACCTCCATCCTGTAGTACCCTCTTAGCCCTAGAACTTTCTTTTGACTCCAGTGTAGACTTACCATGGAAAACCCATTTAAAAACACTTTTAAGATAGAATAAAGCTTCTAAAATAAGATGCCAGAGTGCTTATAGATTACTGCACTATACTATTGTATAATTGTGTAATTGTATAGATTACAATACAAGGAATTCCTTGGGAGTCCATAAATCTGAGAAACAGGGCTTCTTTTGGAGTATTAAATTGTAAGATCCATATCATTTTGGCAGTATGATTCTAAATATATTTTTCACTCTCTTAAATAGGCCATATTACTATTTTCTTTAAGAGTTACTGCAAAAGACCACAATAAAAAGCCATCAACTTTTTTCCAATAACATTTATTAAGTGACTATCAAACTCTGCAGAGGGCAAAAACGTTACACCCTAGTTGCCTGAAGCTGTAAGAGTCAGAAGTGAACACAGCATTTTAACACTAGTATGCCACCACTCCTCACCACCAGGAAGTCCTGGAGCCCTGAAGGCTAGATGAACCCTATGTGCCCCAAATTTCTACCTAACACCCTTGTAGCATATCCAGAAATGACCCTTGCCTGAGTCCTTGAACTCCTTTTGTTCCTTTTCTCCTTTAAAAGGATCTTTCTCACTATAGGTAATGGACTCAAGCAGAACTCTCATCCTGAATTCTCCCTCCTATCAAGCGATAAGAAAAAGGCTAACAATGAACTCCAAGGGAACCTTGAAGACTGGGATGCCGAGGGAACTACTTTCCAACATGTCAAAGAACAAATACCCTTGCCTCTGCTTTATTAGAATTTTTGAAGCCACATGCGACAGTCCTTACACTTGCTTAAGATCACACTGCCCTGATGTCTGTAACCCTCAAAGCTGTGAGCAGTGGAATTCTATGGAACCCAGGATCCAGAGTTGTTTATATTTCAAAGGAATTTTGATTCACATGTTAGCAGAAACCCAGGACACAGAAACCAGGAAATTTCATTTTTCATTACTGAGGATTTTCTTAAATTTTATTATCAGATATTTATTATAAAAACAATGAACAAAAGTAAAACACAGTAGTTAAAAACACAGACAGACTCTGGAGCCAAACAATTTCAACTGTACACTTTACTAATTGTGTCCCTTGGTAAGTGACTCAACATATCTGCTTCTATCTATCCATTTGTAAAACTGGGATAGCTACAAAGCCTACTTGACAGAGTTATGGGAATTGAACAAACAAGTTAATATTTTTAAAAACGTTTAAAAAACCAAGCACATGGTGAGTGCTTATGTATTTGTAAAAGAAAAACAAAAACTAAACTAAAAAATATAATTAATTAATTAACTGGGTTAATGTCTCCAAGAATCTAAGAGGTCTTTATTCAAACACATTTTTAGATGTCACAATAAATGTTTATAAATGATTGTACCCTTATGGCTGTTCATTCTGTTATGTATATCTCCAGTGTCCACAATTAAAATTTATAGTGATTGCCTAAAAGAATTATAAACTAACTGCCCAGCAATTCATTGATAAGTACCAATGGACACTGACACACTAGATTATTAACTATCACTTTGTTTCAAAGCTCAGTCTCATATTTCTGGGCAACAGCATTTCTATCTTCTATCCTTAGTGATCTCCTTTACTAATCTTTCCTAAAGAAGTTAACCTTGATCAACAGTAAATACCCCACTCAATACTGCACTAGTTTTTTTTCTTAAATTCAGATTTAGTATTCCACATTCTATCCCTTAAACAGCACCTAGCCCCTCCCCTTGTAATAGCAAAACCTGTTTCTATAATTATGCACAAAATGTTAACATAAAGCTTTCCATCTAGTAGTCCAGGCAGTGTCTTTCCAGCCAAAACACTCTTCATGGCACAAGACTTTCCCCATAATAATGTACACCAATCTACCAATAAGAGCTCTTGAGGGAATGACTCCTTCCCCAATCATGTTCCTCAAATATGGATTCCTTGTGGATCATACGAGAAGCTTGGGAGCTGTTTTCTATAATTCCCTGACACTGAAGAGGGGCCACATAACTGCCAAAAGGTGTTCCCCGGTCCTTTCACTAATGTCACTCATGAGGTTTCTTCTAAAAAAGAGACTTCCTGTTGTATAATAAAGACAAGTCTTATTGAATTTTTGATGAAAAACTTTCCTCTCGGTAATACTTGTAGGCTTTTTTCTCCCACTGTTGTATGTTTTTATTGTATGTGGTCAAACACAATAAAAGAAAAGTCTCTGACCAATTTAGTTATAGTTGCTTTTCACTATGATTTCTCTGATGTTGAATTAAGGCTGCATGACCACTAAAGGCTCTTCCACACTGAGTGCATATAAAGCGTTTCTCTCCGCTGTGCATTCTCTGATGGATAATGAGGGAAGAATTCTTACAAAAAGCTTTTTCACAGTGATTACATTTGTAGGGTTTCTCTCCAGTATGGTTTCTCAAGTGTACAATAAGGGAAGAACTCTCATTAAATGCCTTCCCGCATTCATTACACCTGTATGGTTTCTCTCCAGTATGAGTTCTCCGGTGTGCGATAAGGTGAGAGCTACAATTAAAGGATCTTTCGCATTGATTACATTTATAGGGTTTCTCACCAGTATGAATTCTCCGATGGGCAACAAGGTGACAGCTCTGACTGAAGGACTTTCCACATTTATTGCATTCGTAGGGTTTTTCTCCAGTATGAGTCCTTTGATGCCTCACAAGATGAGCCATCTGGCTACAGGATTTTCCACATTTATTACATTCATAGGGTTTAATTCCAGAATGAATAATTTCATGTTTAGTAAGGGCTGAGCGTTCTCTGAAAGCTTTGCCACATTCTTGACAGTTATAGGGTTTCTCTCCTGTGTGAGTTCTCTGGTGAGCAATAAGATGGGAACTCCAACTGAAGGACTTTCCACACTCAGTACATTTATATGGTTTTGCTCCAGAGTGAGTTCGTTCATGTTTACTAAGGGCTGAATAATCCCTAAAAGCTTTCTCACACTCATCGCACTTAAAGGGTTTCTCTCCAGTATGCATTCGCATGTGGGCAATTAGATGGGAACTCCAGCTAAAAGACTTCCCACATTCAGTACACTCAAAAGGTTTCTCTCCAGTGTGAGTTCTCTGATGTCCAATAAGATGGGAGTTCCAGTTGAAAGATTTCCCACATTCATTACATACATAAGGTTTTTCTCCTGTATGAATTCTTGTGTGGACAATAAGATGAGAATTCCAACTGAAGGCCTTCCCACATTTGTTACATTCATAGGGCTTTATTCCAGTGTGTGTCCGCTCATGTTTAGTAAGGGCTGAACGGTTCCTAAAAACTTTTCCACATTTATCACATTCATAGGGTTTCTCTCCAGTATGAGTTTTCTTATGCTGAATAAGGTAAGAGCTCCAAATAAAAGATGCTCCACATTTGTTATATTCGTAGGGCTTCTCTGCAGTGTAAGTGCTTGTATGTTGAGCAAGTAGTGAGTCATACCCGAACACTTTCTCCCATTCGTTGTATTTATATGCTTTTTCTACACTACCAATGTTTTGATGTTCCATGAAAGATGAGAAGTAAAAGATATTCTCATACTCTTTATAGTCATATGGGTTTCCTCTGATTTGAAGCCTTGGGTGTTCATTAAGTGATGGGCTCTGGTTAAAGATTTGGCGGCATTCCTTATATTCATAGAGTTTTTCTCCTGTATGTATTCCTTTATGATCACCAAAATGTATAATATGATTAAAAGATTTCACAGCATCAGTATATTTCAACAGATTGTCTCCAGTTTGCATTCCTGCAGGGTAAACAGGCTGAAGAGACTGGCAGAAGGCTTTGTCATGATCATTTTCACAGGTAACCTTATCTGCATACATTATAGCTGAATTACATCTCCAACCTTCAAGATGTGCATCAGGTTTATAGAAATGTTCTAATTGAGAAACTCTCTGAGATGGAACCAAGTTTAAGCTTTTGCTGTACTCTGTGCCAAGTTCAGAGAATTCAGAACGTCGTTGAGAAAGTACTTGTTTCTGCATGAAGACCATTTGTCTCATACCTGTACTCTGATTCATGTGATACATTTCTAATTGGTCTTTACATCCCAAAACTCCTAGCCTGGAGAGCCAAGGATCATTCCATATATATCTTTCTAATGCCATCCCACTGCACTGTTCTTCTGCAAAAATACTCTGTGCTGGAACCAATGTTCTGCTTTCAACATTTCTCATCCACTCTGAAACAGAAGCAGGAGAAGCTGTGAGTGCATGAAGACCTCGGGATTCACTGAAGAGATTATTCATACTATAGAAAAGGCTACAGTATATTTCATTTTCAAGTACAGACATGAAAGACAGAGAAATATCGTAATAGAGAATAGTGAAAAGTAAACAATTGGTACTACAAAAGAAAGCACATAATCACACTAATAAAACCACTGAGGAGTGGTTTCACATGAAAAGTTACAGTTACAGGAAAAAGTAAACTCTGCAGGACTGAGCTACTCAAGCCATGTACATTATCAAACTAGCTTACTTGGAGTCTCAGTCATGGTACTACTGCCTATATGACCAATGTCAAATAAGCACACTGAATACTGGATTAAACTCACCTGTGGTTCCTACTACACAATGTCACAGACCATCACAATTTCTTGCTAGATTTATACAACTCCATTGTGAAAATATCAGCAGAAACTTAGATTTGGCTTCCTCTAGACTCTATAATATTACTTTCTATTCTTTTACTGTAATAAACCATAATATTGATGGTAGTGAGTTTCAAATCCTGTAAGTCATCTTAGTGAATCAATGGCAGCCCTGGATACCCCTGACAAAAGGACAGTGAAGGAAGGGAGGGAGGGATGGAAGGAAGGAGGAAAGGCTTAATAAATAAGTGTGCAGGCCTTTGGCAAGTAAAATTTAATTCATTAAACAGAGTTATAATTTATTTCTGCATTATAATGTCTTCCTGCTTCCCATCTCAGTATTAGAAGGAGGCTATAAGAAAGTATCAACAAAGATTTTAAGCCAGGATGTTATTTATAATAAACTACTACTACAATATGTATTATTCCAAAGTCCAGTCAAGATTTAAACACATAAGACTTAGCAGCTCAAAGGGAAATCTTATCATAGTTTAAAGAATGCCCTAGAGAAGTAATTCCTGTGACCACTATGGAATCATTTTTACAGCAGTGACAAAAGAAATAGACTAGTGAGTTCAAACTAGTTAGAACATCTGTATTTAAATACTAGCTCTACCACTAATCATAAGCGAACTTTTGTGATGGCTTAAGGCAAGTTTCTGAATCCAGCAAAATGCCTGTAAATGTGTGTGTGTGTGTGTGTGTGTGTGTGTGTGTGTGTGAGAGAGAGAGAGAGAGAGAGAGAGAGAGAGAGAGAGAGAGAGAGAGAGAGAGAGAGATCAGCAACGTGTTGTCATAACTGGGTTATCAGAGTATCTGTTTTAGTTCATATTACTATTATAATAAATTATCACATAATTAGTGAATTACATAATACAGTTCTATTACCTTATAGTTCTAGAAGTCAGCAACCCAAAACAACCATTATTTTATCTGTCTAGGGTTCTCTGAAGATTCACAAGAAAGGCTTGTCTTTGATTAGCAAACTAGGGGAGTAAGTAGTCCTAACAATTTCTGGCAAGAAATTGAGGTAGGGCATAGAGTAAGATCAACAAAACAATAAACAAAAAGATAGAAAGGAAAAACTGAGCAACATGCTCACAGAGGCTTTAAGAGTGACAACTCTTTTGGTTGTGAGCCTAGCCTTTAATGACTGAGCCATCTCAGAGACAAATTCCTGACCAGGACACCAACAGTGCAGATACTAAGATCAACACTTAATAAATGGAATCTCATGAAACTGAAAAGTTTCTGTAAGGCAAAGGACACCATCAAAAGGAGAAAACAACAGCTTACAGAATGGGACAAGATCTTCACCAACCCCACATCTGACAGAGGGTTAATTTCCAAAATACATAGGGAACTCAATAAACTAGACATCAACAAACCAAATAATCTTTTAAAATGGGGGTACAGATCTAAATAGAGAATTCTCAACAGAAGAATCTCAAATGGTTGACAAACCTTTAAGGTTATGTTCAACATCCTTGGCTATCAGGCAAATGCAAATCAAAATGACTCTGAGACTCCATCTTATACCTGTCTGAATAGCTAAGATCAAAAGCACAAGTAACAGTTCATGCTGTAGGGGATTTGGAGCAAGGGGAACCTCCTCCATTGCTAGCAGGAGTGCAAACTTGTATAGGCACTTTGGAACTCAGTGTGGTGATTCCTCAAAAAAAGCATGGGATAAAACTGGACTCTCTGAACATGGTGGACAATGAGGGCTGATGAGAAAGAAGCCAAGAACAATGGCACTGGGTTTTGATCCTACTTCATGTTCTGGCTTTGTGGGAGCCTAGCCAGTTTGGATCCTCACCTTCCTAGACCTGAATGGAGTGGGGAGGACCTTGGACTTTCCACAGGGCAGGGAACCCTGACTGCTCTTCGGACTGGAGAGGGAGAGGGGGAGGAGTGGGGGGAGGGGGAGAGGAAAGGGAGGAGGGGGAGGGAAATGGGAGGCTGGGAGGAGGCAGAAATTTTTTTTTTCAATAAAAAAAACTGGGAATCAATCTACCAAAAGACCCAGCTATACTATTCTTAGGCATATAGCTAAAGGATGCTCAATTATACCACAAAGACACTTGCACAACTATGCTCACAGCAGCTTTACTTGTAATAGCCAGATCCTGGAAACAACCTCGATGCCCCTCAATGGAAGAATGGACAAAGAATGTGTGGTACATTACACAATGGAGTACCACACCACTGTTAAAAACAAGGACACCAGTAAATCTGAAGGCAAATGGATGGAATTAGAAATAAAAATAATCATCCTAAATTAGGTAATGCAGACCCAGAAAAACAAACATGGTATGTACTCACTCATGAGTGGATATTAGCTGTAAAATAAAGGATAAATATGCTACAATCCACAGACCCAGAGAAACTAAGTGACAAGGAGGGTTCATGGGGTCAGGGAGGCACCTGGATCTACCTGGGAAAGAGAAGTAGAAGAGATTTCGTGAGTGGACTGTGAGCGGGTGAGGATGGGAACATGGAGTCTAGGAGGGAGGAGGTGGGGGGAATCCTATACTACAGTAAATATGAATATGAAATAGATAACATAGGCATATATGATAGAGTGTGAAGGGAAGAAAGGGAAGAAGAATGGTGTAATTATACAATAATCCCAAAATAAAATAGCAAATTCATAGTGAGTAAATATGAATGCAAAAAAAATAGTAAAAAAGGAAAAAAAGAGTAAAAAGTTATCTTGTATTGGGAAGTAATAGTAATGTAAGTAAAGAACAGTGAGTATATATAATTTTTCAACTTATACATTTTATGGAGCTTTGACTTTTTTGAATCACGTGAATATACTGCTTATACTCAAAAACTATTTTGTCTGTTGTTTTTTAAGTGCCTGAAGGCATAGACTGCAATTTGGAAATTTAAAAAGTAAATGTTTAAGTAGATAAATAAATGAAAACTTAGAGAAGGTAAAGCAAATATGAACAGCAAGCAAGCACAGAGCACACAGAAAGAGAGGGGAACTCGGCACACAACAGCAACCTCATGAGACAGGCTCTGCTCTCAATCCGCAATAGATAAAAAGGAACTAAGAGGAGGAAGAAGAAAGCTCCCTAGAGGGGATTATAACTGTACTAGAAAATAACCCCTCTACCCTTAGCCCATTTATCAAAAAGGAGACCTTTGAGAAGTTCCTCATTCAATGCCAAGGCTTCACCTCACCTGGACAAGTACTTTGGGGATATGCTCGCTCCACTGACCAAGGCTCTTCTCCTTGTTCCAACAGGGAGATGACTTCAGGCTTAGCAATCTGATTCCCTACAGATAGAAGAAAGACATGTAACTTTGGTGACAAAGCTTTGGAGTTGCCAAAGAACTCTCCCTTGCCTCTTCCTCCTGTGACTCCTCACTGGAGTGGAAGAAACACATCCTTCTCTCTTTGTATTCTCGAAGTATTAAGAATTTCATCCCTGAATCTCAAAGTCCAAGACCATCTCAGCCCTTCAGAGATACACTATACTACTTTCACAGAATAGCCGAAGACATTGCAAAGGAAATAGCTTTATTTATTTAGGCAATTTCTGCCTTACCCACAGAGAGTAGGTGTCCGTAGGTCTCCAGCATCACGTCACGGTATAAGGTCCTCTGAACAAGGTCTAGCTGCCCCCATTCTTCTTGGGTGAAGGCCACAGCTACATCTTTGAAAGTCACTGGTTCCTGAAAGAACATATATGACCCTTCTCAGCCTGTGGCTTTCCAAATTTTCGAGGAATGGAATGAGGCTGACAGACTTTGAGGAGAGGAGACAAGATATTAAAAACTTACTAGATGTTATCAAGATTCTACCCAGATATGGTGACTAACTTTAAACCCAGCACTTAGAAGGCAGAGGCAGAAGGATCTCATTGAGTCCAAGACCAGCCTGGTCTACATAGTGAGTTCTAGGACAACCTGTGCTATGTAGAGAGAACATATCTAAAAAATAAAACTAAGTAGAAGCTTCTAGTTGAACTGAGTACTGCCCAGGGCCCTGCATTTGGGATACACTTGGAATATACCAGTTTCAGCTGCAGAAACCACAGCAAAAATGTGTTCATCAAAAAAAAAAAAAAGTTGCCTGGCAAACCACTTTATCAACTAAGCACTAATACTCTGTAGGTCATTATAAAAATCAAATCTTACAGTCCACAATAAGTACATTTTATTACATCTCAGCAATGATGCAATGAACTTTGATATCATACTAGTTAAACAGCAGAATTCTCCATTTGCCATTGCAGGATATCCCTGGGGGGTTCCTGTATGAAAGCCACAGTCAGAGCTGTACCCATCTTTAGTTTATAATTAAATTAAATAAATAAACTAGTAAATAAAAAAACTTAAAAAAGCTCCAACATAAAGAAAATATGCACATACATCACAAATTAAAGTGTCAAGAGCCAAAAGAGAAACCTGGAGACAGTAAAAGACATAGATATTCTTCAATATATTCCACAGTTTATTTATTAGAAACCAATTCTGATAAAAATGGCCAGTGTGAACAGGAATCCCACCTTGACAACACTCTATTCTCTCAATACATGACTATATCCTGAACCAGAGTATACAGAGAACAAGTTAGAAGAGTCTTTGCTCCAAATCTGGATCTGATACCTGGAAAGTAGAATCTATCATCTACTACCCTGATGATGAGAAAGTTTTTATCAAAGGGCTGGAACTAAGGGTAAGCAGGATGGCCCAGAGCAACCTGGGTGGAGGGAACTAGTTACAGGAGTAAAGATAAAACAGTTGAGTTAGAAAAGAATCCAGACTGACTGGCTGAGTCGCGTCCACTATAATCCCAGTTTCTTGTCAGGGACTGAAGAGGATGAGTTGAGTTCCCAGGTTCAATATGAGCAACATAGTGACAAAAATATAGAAACCAGGCATGGAAAAGGCCTTTAATCCAGGAACTCAGAGCACCAAGGAGAAAGAATCAGAGTTTAGAGCCTGGCTGGGTTACCCAGTAAGAACTCGTTTCTAAGCAAACAAAAGCACAAAATCCAAAGGGGAAAAGGAAAACAGAAGATGAACACAATGTTAACCTAAGTCTGATTTTGCAATTATTATACCTTTTATACTCCTTTTAAGAAATCAATGGGAGACTCCAGTGTCTGAGCGTCCTGAGAGTGGAACATGGGAGGCCTCCTCTTAACTTTCATTTTCAAAGATTCTCATTATGTGTTACTAGAGTTTCCTTATGCCTGTTCCTTTGAGAAATTTTGTATGTGTTTTGAAGAATGAAAATGTAAACAAAATAAGTCTCTTTAAACAAAATAATTATTTGGGAAAAAATCCCTGCCACTGTGAAACCACACAGTGTGAAGACTCTGCACACAGGTACCCCCACTGTGTCCTCTTGATTATACAAGGAACAGGAAATTAGAGATTTACTCACTAGACAACCCCCACAATCCAGATTCAGAGCCTGAGGCCATTAAAGGTAAGAGTTTAGTTAGTAAGTATAGAGAAATGAGAATGGTAGCTTATAATGGAAAAAGAGTCTGACATCAGGACCTTCTCTTTTGGGGAACAAATGAGTAAAGGCCTATACAGTAAGATTAAGACACAAAGGAACACAATTAGGAAACAGCTCAGTGCTTATACTGCATCATGTCCCTTGAGGAATGAAAACTGCTCTTAAATTTTAGTGGAATGTCTAGTCCCCAGAAGAAGTCCTTTTCCCAAGGTCAGGCATTTGGATACAGGCCTCTATTCCCTCAGGGGCTTTGCTAAAAGTAGTCATCCCCTTACTCTGGCAGGAGGAACTTCCGTGGCCCTTCCATTGATGTAAGAGTGGTCCTGGTGGTTACTGAACCTTTGAGAACAATATTTAGATTCTCACTGAACTTTTTACTTTTGTCTCAGGAAAAATGCTATAATCAAGTTAATGGCCACTTTCTGTCCCTGAATCACTGATCATGCTTTCAATCTTGCCTGTGGCTGAACTACTGAGCATAAAAGGTCCCCGATTCACCCTCAGATCACATCTATACCCACCCCAACCCCACCAACCTCCATCCCCACCAACTCCACATCTTCTCTTTGGGACATGAATCCCACTAAAGCTGGTCTCCAGAAGGATGGGAGTAGGAACATCTTCCAAAATAGCTTCAACATGATTAACGAAGTCAACACCCACACCCTAGCAACTGACAACCCTGTAGGCTGCCACGAATTCACATCCTATCCTTTTAAGTATGTTCAAAAGTTAATAGAAGAACGCCTAGTAATGAGACACAAGAGAAATGAAACCATTAGAGGGTTTCAGGAAACCCAGGAATGATAAAACAGTGGCCACTGGTGACAACTATCAGTAACTACAGCACCTCAGGTGACAGAAGACTGAGAGATATTTAACAAAGGTAACACCATGCAGCTGACAACCCACCCTGTCATCTGAAAAAATCAAACAACCAAACACCATATGCCCACTAATGTAAAGAAGGAGGTAGGGGCTAGAGAAAGCTCAATTGGTAGTGGGCTTGTCATATAAGCATGAGGACCTACCGTCAATTCTCAGCACCATCATAAAAAGCTACCTACAGTAGCAGACTTTGTAACCCTAGCACTGGGGAGGCAGAAAGAGGCAAATCCCTGGAGCTAGCTGGCCAGTAAGCCTAACCTATCAGCATATCCCAGACAGTGAAAGAACCTGTCTCAAAATAAAGTCTGTTTTACCCTTAGCAAAGCAACACTGCTTTGGAATGGCTATTCTAATTGTTCATTGGAATATATAGAGTTGGGGAATAGCCAAGTGCTTGTTTAAATAGTGTGTGATGTTTCTGTAAGGTCATTACAATGAAGTAATTTTTATTTAAAAATCAACAACAAAACAAACACAGTGGAGTTGGTGAAATGACTCAGCAAGTAAAGGCTTTTACCACCAAGCCTACAAGCTGTGTTCCTATGGCCCATGGGGTGGAGGCAAAGAACCAGCTCCCAAAAGCTGTCTACATACATACAAATGAGGGACAAAACACCACTCAAGAAGCACTCTTGTCCAACTACCTGTCTCCAGGGGGCTGAGAAGATGGCACTTAAATGATACCACGAATGCTGAATCGGGAAAGGAAGAAGCCAGGGAAATCTGGTCTCTTCAGATAAAACGTACACGCGATCTGAGTGCCTGGTTTTGACCCTGATTTTACCAACTATAAGACTCTGACGTGGTGGAAACAAGTGAGAAAAAGTGGAATGTGAGCTGAGCATTAGGTAACTTTTGCTGGGTGTGCAGTGAGGAAAAGGTACTATTAGTTATATTCTAAATCAAATACCCAAAAATACAGGTAAAAATCATACAATTCTGGGATTTGTTTTTAAATTTTTCTAGCTTTACGAAATTGCTATGTTAGAACAAGTCACAGGCAGAAACTGAAAGTTGGATGTTGCTGAAGGTGATGGGCATGAGTATATACGGAAAGCAGAGTAAGAGCAGAAAGATGTCCACTTCCTAACCCTCAAAACCTTAACAATAGAAAGACTTACATATGTAACTAAGGTAAAGATGCTGCAACAAGAGTAACCCGTACTGTCTGGGTGGATCCAGTGTAATCAGAAGGTCATATATGTGAAGAAGGAAGAGGTAGGAAGACCAAAAATGCAATGATGGAAGCAGAAGTGGGAATTAAGAAAGGAGAAGGGTAAAGATGCTGCTTGGTGATAGAGTGCTTGCCTACCATGCCCAAAGTTCGAGATTAACTTCCCAGTACTGCCTTCACTGTCCAAGAAAAGAAGGATACAAATCAAACAATGAGACAAAATTTTTCCTGGAGCATCAATGAAAAACACATAACCGCACCCTAGATGCTTGGTGCTGTCAGTGTCTTGTTTGGTTTGCAGAGTTTGTTTTTAGTTTTTTTCAAACGGATCTTAAGTAGCTCAGGCTGGCCTCAAACTCAATCCTTGAACTCAGTATGCAACTGATGCTCCCAAGTGCTGAGGTTCCAGGCATGTGGTGGTACTCCCAAATATGCAGGCCCTTTTTAGACTTCTACGCTCAAAACAAGGGAATAAAATAGTTGTGAGCGCCCAAGCTTCTATTAATCTGCTGCAGCAGCAACACAAAGGTAATCCTCAGTTTATGTTCTATTTTTCTACTTAAAGATCTTTTTGTTTTACTTTGTTCATTTGTTTGTTTTAATTTGGAGGCTGAAGAAGTGGCTCAGTGATTATAAGCATTTGACGTATTTCCAGAGGCATCTCCACCCGATTTCAAGCTGTACTATGGAGCTGTAGTAAGAAACACTGCATGGTGTTGCCATAAAACAGACACCTTGATCAATGGAACTGAATCGAAAACCCAGGCATAAAACTACACACCCATGCACACCTGATTTATATAAAGAAGTCAGAAATGCACATGGAAGAAAGAAAGCACCTTCAACAAATAGTGCTGGTCTAACTGGATGGAATGTAGAAAAATGCAAATAGATCCATATCTATCACCCTGCACAAAACTCAAGTACAAGTGGATCAAAGACCTCAGCATAAATCCAGATACCTGAACCTGATGGAAGAGTTTTGAACTCATTGGCACAAGAGGCAGCTTTCTGTACAGAACACTGATAGCACAGGCACTAAAATCAAGAATTAATAACTGGAACTTCATCAAACTGGAAATCTTGTGGAAGGGAAAGAGTACCATCAATAGGGCAAAATGGCAGCCCACAGAGTAG